CTGGGTCTTGTGTATACGAACACCGACGCGGGCTGAGCGCTGACAGCAGTTCCGCTCCCGGTAATGCTGTCTACCCCCATCCTTCTCTCGTGGCCACGGCAGACGGGCTCAAACACACTGCGCATGTTTAGTCCTACAAGTTCCATAATATATCCTTGGGTTTTTTGGTTGATCTACAACTGATGTCAATACCATGGACTGACCCCAAGGTGAGGGCGTCAACCAACCGCCCCCCCTCTGCGTTCGTGTTAGCCCGGCCAAGCTTGGCCCGGCTGGTCTTCTTTCCTACCTGATACGTGTCTGTACGTGTCCACGTACGTACATGTAGACAGTCTAGTCTACTGCTGTATCCTGTGTTGTTCACCGTTGGCAACATAGAGAACGCAGCACTAGTATATAGTCTAGTCGTCTACCCAAGCTTTGACAGCAGTAATATTGCGTGAGCACGGTGGGTCTGTTGTATGCTGTACGATGGTATCAGTTTCAGCAAAAACCTGCCACGTGTGGAGGCTCCCACAATAGTCTATTGGCCCAGTCATTTGTCGAGCGGGAAGACTTGGGAATGGGTAACTGTTGGGTTCTCAGAGTTTTGGATGATGGACAGAGTCCGTATTCAAAATCAAGCGAAGTAGAAACGTTGGAGACAAAACAACAGGGCACGTGTCCTACAACAAGGTGCGCAAGCCATGCAGCAACTGTCATCGTCCTTGCGTTTTGGCACGAAATGCGACATGACCCAAGTGATTGGAGCTCACCGGCGTGCCCACATATGGGCCCTGTCAAATCACGGTCCCGCGACGGGAAGCTGGAACTATTCCTTAGGTTCCTGTCAACGCCACCAACTAGAATCGGAAAATGGCAACACATCATACCTCCCGGATTAGTTCGATAGGCGGAACACCCGAAGAGGGATGCATGTGATGACAGGATACATTATCAAAGAACTGCGCACCAGTAGGAAACTGGCGAATAGTCTCCGTGCCCTGCCTGTTGAGAGCTAACCAGTGCAGAGAATGTAGGTAAACGGTTGACGGTCAAACCCCTTAGGTCCAACCGTTGCAACAGCCTAACGGCTGCTGGCCCTTTACACTGTTGTTGTCTTCCCGCTCACTAAAACGCTGTTCACAAGAAGCAGCAAGGCTCGAATGATCCGTCGTCGCGCCATGTCTTGGAGTTTTCATTACCGGAAAGCAATTAACAACGACAACATTTGCGCGATCAAACGCGGTGGCCAGTACGTTTACACCCTTGGGCTGCCCACCTTAGCATATATTGATCTCCTCCCGTAAATCAAAATCACGAATCCAAGCACGCAATCTAAGCAAACCCACAGTACAGTAGTCAGGTAGCCTGGAAACACCACGACGCGCTCGGTAGGAAGATCTCACGACACATCCGCCGAGTGCTAAATCAGACGACAATACGACACGCTTCGAGTAGTTATTTCGTTCACACTGCCCCCAACGCAAGGTGTCTCGAATCGGAATCAGTTCCAGAACACGAAAGAAAGGCCTCGGGGTCCAAGAAGAATATACCCTAGATAGACAACCAAAATATTGTCCTTGACCAATCGTCACATCGTTTGCCCCTGCAACGCACCACAAGAAACGGAAGGGTGAATCGCAAAACGACACTCGATGTGCCAACTGAGGAATTGTCGGCAGCCGAATAGTTCTGGGTCATGTTTTTTTCTTGACAACAACATTTAGACTAGCCACCAAGGTCTCTGCTCAGGGCCTTCCCTACCGAGATACGGTTGCTTTTACCAGGCCGAACGGATGTATTGATACATATAAAGCCTAGGTATATACATGAGGGTCATGTACATTATTTGAACAGAATATGAGAGGCCTCATGAGACCTCGTGACTTGCACCACAACACCTCATGGGATGGCTCGTGAGGTGCCATGAGGTCTCATCAGGCGGCTCACGGGGCACCATGAGACCCCATGACACCTCTCACGGTACCACTCATGACACCGCTCGTGAGACACCTCACAAGAGGTCTCATGAATCCTCTCATGGGTCGTCTCATGAGAGGTGCCATGCGTGGCCGTGAGATGCCTCATACCACCTCTTGAGACGTTCCACGATACGTCTCAGGCATGATCATGACACATCTCGTGGGACACCTTTTGGCCGCTCATGACAGCTCATGACAGCTCATCATGGCTCACGACCGCTCATGACCGCTCATCGCCGCTCGCGACCGCTCACAAGCGCTCATGACCGCTCATGACCGCCCATGACAGCTCATCACGGCTCATTAGCGCTCATGAGCGCTCACGATCACTCACGGGCGCTAACGAGCGCTCACGGCAGCTCATGACAGCTCAACACGGCTTATGAGCGTTTCATAAGTGCTCACGACCGCTCACGACCGCTCATGACCACCCATGAAAGCACATCACGGCTCGTGAACGCTCGGGAGCGCTCACGATCACTCACAACCGCTCACTAGCGCTCGTCACAGCTCATGACAGTTCATCATGGCTTATGAGCGCTCATGAGTGCCAACGACCGCTCACGACCGCTCATGATCGCCCATGGCGGCTCATGACAGCTCATGAGCGCTCACTAGCGCTCACGATCACTCACAACAGCTCATGAGCGCTCACGGCCAGCTCATGACAGCTCATCACGGCTTATGACGACTCATGAGTGCTCACCATCACTCACGACCGCTCACGACAGCTCATGGCTGCTCATGACAGCTCATGGCTGCTCATGACAGCTCATCCCAGCTCATGACGGCTCATGATCGCTCATGATAGCTCATGACGGTTCATGACCGCTCATGACCGCTCATGACCGCTCATGGGCGCTCATGAGCGCTCGTGACAGCTCATGACCGCTCATGACAGCTCATGACAGCTTATGGGCGCTCATGAGCGCTCGTGATCGCTCGCCACTGCTCATGACAGCTCATCACACGTCATCACACCTCATGACAGGTCAGGACAGCTCTTGACAGCTCATGGTGACACCCCATTGCACAGGACCACGCGTCATGACACCTTATGACGCCCCAAGACACCTCATGACACCCCAAGACGATTCAGCACGCCTCATGAGACCCCCAAGGGGCGTGGTTGTACACTGTGGACCTCATTACACGTGCGGCACCTTGTATGGGATGCCACGACTCCCAGTGTTGTGTCGTTATGGTTGCACGACATCAGATGAGCCCGGATCACGAACGTCAATGGTAGGACAACGTTGTAGCACCCATGTAAGACGAAAACGTGCGTGATAGAGTTCACGTTCGCGTGCATTATGTTTGCGCTCCAGGAGTCGCTCTGGGGTAACGAAATTATTCCGTCACATGTATCGATGTCATGTCTCAACATTAAAAACCGGGAGGTGAAGTAACAACAAGACGTAGACTCCTGGAGGAGAGCATTTTGCCAGTACCAAGCATAATATTGGTGTGTTATGTGACACCTCACCACCAACAACTAAGGAGTTTCTTGGCGCCGCCGTCCCGAAGGCAACTCCGCCATTGCTAACGACTGCCAGGTCTCAAGGTCTCTAAAGACGGCCGAGCACGGCTGGTTCTACAGTAGCGGCCCCCAGGGATATAAACTCGAAATGTACAGGTTTCCGTCGCGATGGTTGCATCCACCTACAACGGCTGGATACCCGGGGGCGTGCGTTGTCTGGATGCAATATGATGCGAAGCACCATGCTACATCTGCGCCACCAGCTAATGCACCCAACTAGCTCGGTCGCCTAGAGTGTTCGTGGCGCAGGCACCTTCAACGGTGGTGGTCAAACTGGGGACGATGCTATCCCAGGAATGGAACAAGAGGAAAAGCACTGTGTATCCTAGTATTGTCCTTGCGCAAACCCCTCAGGCAAGAGGGCTCTTTCTCTCTCTCTCTCTCTCTCTCTCTCTCTAGGGGGGGGGGCGCAATCGCACCCCAACCGCATACACAAATAAAATCATCTTCGGAAAAGTACCCAACCACTCTCAGTGCTACATCAGTATAGCGAAGGAACGGTGTCGAACATTTTTTGAAAAGCTAGGTCAAACAGTTGGTAGGTCAAACAGTTGGTAAACATCTGAAAAACCATAAACACATTTTTTTCCACTTCCTGTCCAATAGAAACGAGCACTCGGAAAGCACAGGGGCGTCAACCGTTACTCGCCAGTACACGCAAGACCCTTCATCAAATAGTTCTGGTCCCAGGACCACACACTGAACAGAGTACACGCGAATTTGTGTCGCCACTGTTGTTTCAAAATATGGTCGGGTACTTACATCAACATGTAAACTGCATGCCACAGCCCCCTTGGTGTAACACCCCAGGGTGTTCTATTGAGGGCGTGATCGACAACGTGTGCACTCCCGGAGATGAAGGGTACACCTGTGGTGAGAGAACACAGGCCCGCAAAGCATGATCCGTAGTACATTATCGTTCAAGTCGATCCTCTTCATCGAGAGACTTGGGCAGTCAACGAACTGATACTGTCCAACACCCATAGTCTAGATTCATCCACGACCACAAGTGCTTCCCGATGTCTAGGAACTAGATGCAACCTTGATTTAGCATGCCCAGGTTGCGCCAAGACGCCGTCTGCAACGAAAAACAAATTGTTCATAGGTTCAGCTGATGGCCTACGAGGGCAGTAAGCAGACATGCATCGCCATATTCGATGTTGTGATAACTCCTCTCGAGAGCACCTGAGCCGATGTGCGGGCAGGAATCCCATAGGTTGCATTTTCGACCACGGTTTGTCTCGAAACCCATTCAATACTGCAAAAAACCTTCTCAAGCAGTAAGTCTTAGCAAATGGAGCAATTATTCTTCCAACGGATCGAGTGCACGAAACCGTACCACCAAGGGAAGGTCGTCTGTCATTCTTCCCTTGTTGACCTTGCTTTTCCGCTCCTCCAGCCGGGGTTATGTAGGGTGAAGCATGAGTAACTGGCGAAGCTCTCGATTGTCCAAATGTCCAAACCCGAATACATATTTCAGTAACCGCCAACCTGATATGTCGCGGCAGCGGCCACACTTTCGCCTGTACCTGCACTGGGCACGGCCGCGCCGGAATCTGCCCCTCAACCTACGCCGGCACCTGGCTCGAGCTCAGAAGGTAAGAGACTTGATGCCGCATTTCCCGTTCAACTGTTTTGTCAACAACAGGCACTAGGCGGTCGAATAGTGACATATCCCGCCAAACATGCCCAGTTCACTACCATCCGGAGTGAAATTTTTCCGCACCCAAGACCGGTCCCCCTTGTCAAGGCTACGTTATTCTATCCGCCGGCATATCACGGGGCTAGTAGTCATCGCCACTTCTGAACGAAGGGCCTAAGCTTCCCCTAGTGCTGGTTCCCGAGCTCTGTTGCTGGTGTGCTCCCTACATGCTGTGTAGGGTCATGTTATCTTTTGGAATAACTCCGAACGGCGGGAATTGAACCGATATGCCGGCAGGAATCCTGTAGTTTACATTTCCGACCGTTGTTTGTCGAGAGACCCAATCAACACTTCAAGGCTTTCTCGAGCACCATGTCTTCCGAACGTGTGATCATTCTTCCAACTGCTTGAGTGCGCGCATCCATGCCACCAAGGAAGTCGTCTGTGGTGTTTTCCTTGTTGGCTTGGCTTTTCCGCTCCTCCAGCGGGGTTGTGTAGGGTGAAGCATGACTAACTGGCGAAGCTCTCGAGTGTCCCAACCCAGATACGTCTTTCAATACCCGCCAACCTGGTATCTCGCGGCAGCGGCCACACTTGCACCCACGGCTACACCTGCACTGGGCACGGCCGCGCCGGGATCTGTCCCTCAACCTACGCCGGCACCCGGCTCGAGCTCAGAACGTTGGAGACCTAATGCCGCATTCCCGTTCAACTAGGGCATGCCGTAGTGTCAAAGACAGGCACTAGGCGGTCGAATAATGACATATCCCCAGCTTTGCTCCAAACATTCCCAGCTCACTACCATCCGGAGTGATAAATTTCGCACCCGAAACCTCCCGCCCTCCTTACAGCAACGTTATTCTATCCTTCAAGTGACGGGGCTAGTAGTCATCACCGCTAGTGAACGAAGGGCCTAAGTTTCCCCTAGTGCTGGTTACCGAGCTCTGTTGCTGGTGTGCTCCCTACATGCTGTGTAGGGTCATATTATCTTTTGGAATAACTCCGAACGGCAGGAATTGAACCGATGTGCCGGCAGGAATCCTGTAGTTTACATTTCCGACCGTTGTTTGTCGAGAGACCCAATCAATACTTCAAGACTTTCTCGAGCACCATGTCTTCCGAACGTGTGATTATTCTTCCAACTGCTTGAGTGCGCGCATCCATGCCACCACGGATGGTCGTCTGTCATGCTTCCCTTGTTGGCTCGGCTTCCCGCTCCTCCGGCTGGGGGTATGTAGGGTGAAGCATGACTAACTGGCGAAGCTCTCGAGTGTCCCAACCCAAATACGTCCTTAAATACCCGCCAACCTGGTTCTCGCGGCAGCGGCCACACTTGCGCCCGCGGCTACACCTGCACTGGGCACGGCCGCGCCGGGATCTACCCCACAACCTACGCAACCACCCGGCTCGGGTTCAGAAGGTAAGAGACTTGATGCCACATTTCCCGTTTAACAAGGGCATGCCGTATTGTAAAAACAGGTACTAGGCGGTCGAGTAATGACATATCCCCAGCTTTTCTCCAAACATGCCCAGTTCACGGCCATCCGGAGTGATATAGTTCCGCACCAAACACCGGCCGCCCTCCTCAAGGCTACGGTATTCCATCCGCATTGTCACGGGGCTAGTAGTCATCACCGCTAATTTAGTGAACGAAAGGCTTCAGCTTCCCCTAGTTCTGTTTCCCACCTCTGTTGCTTGTGTGCTTCCTACATGCGGTAGGGGTCATCGTCGTGTGTTTGTATGTCGTCACGATTTCATACGTATATGAGAAAAACGCCCCTATCTCGTGGTTGATACCGAGTCGATCGATTTCGGCGATTTCTATCAATCTCCCCGACAATGTATTGCAGAGGATAGGAGGTGGTGTCATACGCCGAATACCCACGCGAACGCGAAATGGCGCCGCCAATTAGCGACCGAATACGCCTATTTTATCATTCGCAGCGAGTTCAATTGCTCGGCGCTGCTGTCTTGTACGGGGTTACTCTCAGCCTCAATTCTCCTTTTCTCACACCATCCCCAGTCACCGCCCTCCCACGGGTCGCGTCAGGAGAACGGTTGCGTTGTGGAAGAGTATGCGTCATGACGCAAACGAGATTGGCTTAGCCGACGTAAGCCCGTCTTGAAACCCCCATGGACAAAAGTATGTCTGGTCTCTCGCTCGCATTTTTTTCTGCCCACTGTTGGCCTTTTTCTATGCGATTCAGTGTTGACTTTAATTAACCAACCCCCGTCGGTTCCCTCGTCGAACTCCCCTGCGGTATACTCTTCCGTAGGATTAGACGTTCGCTTGTTCAATGTGTTTTGTGTCTACCTAAATACCTCCGCTCAGCTTGCGGCTTACCTCAAGGCAGGGTAAAACCGTGGCCGCAAGGGTTTCTGGCCAATGTTTGAGAGCGAGAGGGGGTCCACCTTCACGGTGGATAGTTGTTGTCCTCATTCTCAGAATTCCTCCAGGTTTGCCGATAAAAGGACCCTCTCCCGTTGCCGTCTACCTCTTCCAAAGTGCTAGAAATTTTATTGAGAAAATGGGCAGGTGCACACACACATGTTGTACACGCAGTTCTGCGTGATGCGACGGAGGGATCGCAAAGACTACTGTAGCCCTGCAATGCTTGGGGTTGAGGCGTCGAAATGTCGTGGTCCTGCTACCAGCCGTTGGCTAACAGAGTCCCGCCTCCATCAACGCTCATCACTGCTATTCCGCTGTTCGTCTGGACAAAGAAGGCGCATCGATGGTGGGCGTTGTAGTCGGCGCTGTGGCCGGCGCGCTGGCGTTAGGAGCACTTGGATTCTTCCTAGGTCGCCGACGGACCGCGAAGAGCACGGACCCCGACCCGCCGGCCCCTCCTTCCAACGGTGGGACAGCGTGGAGCACGGCCGGGGTGAACAGCACCAGCAACGGCAGCAGGACACCCACTCCAATCAGGGGAAAAGATACTCGGGGCCCGCCACCTGCTACCCAGAAAGACTCATCCCCGCCGCCGGCGACACCGTATGTGCATGATGGTGCACACCAGCGTGATGCTCTGCCTCCGCCATCCCCAAAAAGGCATGACGGCAGTGCGCGGCCACACCACGAACGATAGCCTATTCAATGGCGTGTTGGATTGTCGATAGGCGAGGCGTGTGGCCTATCGATAGGTATCGTTGTAGGTATGTAGATCGATACCTCTTGCGTTATGCAATAATTTTGGGAATGCCAGCATGATCGCATATTGTAATTCCAATATCAAACTACTGTATCATCGATCGATAGCTATGGCAACGATGAAGGCCCACAGTCTTGTCGATCGTACCTATTTCTTGATAGATAGAGCGCTGCACGTTCACTCGCTACCTGTTGCTAGACGAAGGTGTCATAATGTACTATCGATACCCATGGCGTGGTCGATGGTGGTGTAACCATCTGTGCCGATCGGTGGCTATTTCTAGATCGGCATGTATACAGTAGTACAACGCTCCCCTTCGGGAGTTAGGTGGCTTGTCTCCCGGGGGCGACGCAAGAGGATAAGGCCAATGTCATCGCGGTCGCATCGTTGAATATCATCGTCATGATGTTCCGTATTTGTAGTGGGTGCCGGTTTTGCGTACGCGCTGCAGAATTGGCCTGGAATTTTGCATCATGTGACGGGTATTTATTTTCTCGCCGTGACTTTTCGATGTGCGTGAGTGCGTGCTTTTAGGCTAGTGGTGTCTTTGCTACAGGTCCTGCTGCTGCTGTAATCCGCTGCGATTGACCACTCGCTCTGAAGTATTCGTGTTACCCGTGGTCAGTGGGACTTTCATGCAGTATGCAGGAATTAAGACCACAATAGTCTTGTTTTTTTTGGAAATCATTCTTTGTTGTATTTCTTGCGAAGGCGTTCTTCGCGCGGAGCACGTTCCAAGTGCCAGTTCTTTTAACTTTGGGCGTCAAGCACAAGCGCAACCGGTGGATAGGTCTATCTTCTTGGTTGATTGCCTTTCATTTTTGGGTGTGTCTATTGACACCGTGCCAGAGAGCCTGACAGAAAGGCGCTTTCATACCTTTGCCCTTCTTGTGCCACCTAGCCGTCGGCGCCGAGCCGCCTCTGACCCGGCCGCCCACCAGAAGGCCCACGACCGGCTGTGTCGCAGCAATCGTGCGCCAGAAGCAGCCGAATCATGCACCCATGGAGGTGTACTGTCCGACACAGGAGCCCGGGCCATTGGGTGCGGCGGCCCACCCAGGGAGCTGGCAGAGAAGCCCCCGCGGCCGGTCGTCGATGTGCGAAGTACCGAAGCTGACACGGGTGCCACCGGTACGGTGTGCCCACCCCTTCCTTGCGAATGCGGCAGTCTTGAGAGCCTTCCGGTGCTGGACAACAACCTGACTTCGCGGGAAGAAACTCAGCCGCAGATTAACGTTGGCCCATTCAACGTGGACCTCACGCCGTCTACGGCGTCAGTCCACATGCCTTGACCATTGGTAGAGCAGGCGGCAGTTCGATCCCGGATTTAGTGTTTCAGGCGTCCCAACCCGGCATCTTCCATTGGCCCTACCAAGACGGCTCTCTCTTTCGTCCGCCCCGAGGGAGGAAGAGACACAAAAGAAAATTGAATCTACCCTGTCGAAGGCCTCGAGTTGCACAGACGATGGAACTACTGTAATCGTGTAGTCGCTGATGTTGATTATCAGGGAATGCGCGAAAAGAGAGCTCACCTGTCTCCTTTGGTCCCGAAGCCTCAAGAAATCTCCGAGGCAGCAACATTTTGAGAGATACTACGTACTGCGGCAGAAGGTGTGTCTTTCTGTTCATGTATCGGCGCGCGGCGGCGGGGGTGAGAGCCTCGCCGGCGAGAACCTACCTGGCGTGGAATGGAGTATTCCGGGACATGTGGAGGAGAAATGTGCGGCTTGTGGGTTATGGAACGGAGCAAGAAACAGCTATCGCCTTGCCTTGGTCTTAGCCGCCCCGAAGTTTTAGGTGTGTGGTGAGGGGATGGCATTACCGGGGCTTTGTTTCGGCGGTGAATACACGATGAGCGTCAAACACACAGAGAACCAACATGGGCATGAGGACAGAATCCTGCGAGGATATCGTCTTGACTTCTTGATAGTTGTGTTCTTAGCCCCGTGTGTCGACGGGGGGAGGTGGGCTCTCCATTGTCGACCGCTTTCTCCCGAAATGTCGCCTGCGAAAGGGTACGGCGTGTGTTGGACCAGTATGGACGCTAGAGACAAAGCGTATTAACATTTCTGTGAAGACATAACAAGCCACCATCACCACAACACAACAACTATAACAGTGCGTCCTACGCGTCTCAGAAAGTGCCAGACTTCAGGCACAGCAGTCGAGTCACCGGATGGTAGAACTAGGCATCCGACACCCCGTTGTCGGCAGTTGGCACCTCCCTGCGCAACAAGATGTTCTACGAGAAGCTTGTGCTCGACGACGGCAAGGCGAACAGCTGTACCAACAACGCGCTGGTCTCAAGGTCGCGCGCGTGGCCGCGGTTGAACTCCCCCCTGGCTAGTTGTCGGCGGCGATCCGCACTCGTGCACGATGTCAGGCGTCAGGGAAACTCTTGTCTATCGTATCAAACTGCCACATGACGTGGAAGAGGGCGAACACCTCCTACTTGTCGATGATGAGCTTGGACAACCCGTCGCGCGGGAGACTTCTTCCCCTCGAAAAGGCCCTTCGCCCGTCTCAACCGCCGTTCCCGAAATCCGATGCAGGAGGCGTCGGGGGACCCGCTAGAAGAGATACGAAAACGTGCCGTGCGTGACACCATGGCTTAGGGTTTGAAGGGTAGAGAGCGCCAACCATTGGTGGAGCTCCCCGAGGAAGTCCGGTTGGAGTCGTAGTTGAGGTTGATCTGGCTTCGGCGAACCTGCCGAATGCCGATACCGTAGCAAGCATTTCCCGAGTCCAAACCCCCTCGCAATCGTCAGGCCTGGCAGTCGAACCCCGCACAGGCAGCCTCAATTCTGCGATGGGATTCAGACGGAATGACCGTAGCACATGTGACCCATCCGCGCACCTGAGCCCATCCGGAGTAAACAACCGGGCAACATCAAGCGTGGGGCCCGCTCTTAAGGGGGGGGAGGGGGTTCGCAGTGCCTCCTCTACAAAATCCAGGAAACGCCTGCATATCTCAGTTTTCCAAAGTCTAGCTCCAGCACAAAACTACCATCGCAAATTAACCGTCCGCAGCGGTCGCTCGTGTACAATGTTAGTGTCTGAGACTGTAGCCCATGTGATGCACTGCAGACTAGCGGTCCGCGATTTTCCAAACGATCATTCTATCGTCAAGATCGGTGAGCTACAAGCAGGATGTTTGAAGCTGCTGTGCGGTCCGTTTTTGAAACGCTTCAAGCTGGCCTACAAATACATGACCCCAGACATTCAAATCGACTACGGCGACGAGTAGGACATGTGAGGGAAGAGCGGCGCTGCAGTTTGCGGCCCCAAACACTCACAGAGGCGCTGATTCGCCGTTGCTGTGTGCTCGAAGCGTTTCAAAATCGGGCCGCACAGCAGCTTCAAACATCCTGCTTGTAGCTCACCGATCTCGATGATAGAAGGATCGTTTGGAAAATCGCGGACCGTTAGCCTGCAGTGCATCACATGGGCTACAATCTCAGACACTAACATTGTGCACGAGCGACCGCTGCGGACGGTTAATTTGCGATGGTAGTTTTGTGCTGGAGCTAGACTTTGGAAAACTGAGATATGCAGGCGTTTCCTGGATTTCAGAGGAGGCATTGCGAACCCCCCCCGCGCCCTTAAGGCAACGGCCGTATAGCACGCGAGAGGTTTGGGCTGCCCAGATCACGGCATGAAAGTAACGAAGAAAACATGTCCGGTTGGGTCGCAGGTGGCACCACGGGGGCCTGCGGAGCTGACAACGCGGCCGGCACATTTGCAATGGGCGTCGCCGCTGGCAACCACGGCGTAGACCGTCATGGCGGCGTATGGTTTCTCTCAAGGTTTCGCTGCCTCCGAGTTCTCTCGAGGCTTCGGGAGCGCAAGAGCAATATGCTTCTCCCCGCAATCGACGTCATCTCGATGTAGCTCCATCGTATGTGACGCTAATGGAAGCTTCCAATGGAAAACGGTTTTACCGACACACTATTCCTTTGGGATTCAAATTTGCCGCCAACCTCGTGCCCCCCCGAATTCTCCCCCCCGTGCACAATGGCACAAGAACTCTTTTGGCTACGAAGTCCGCACCGTCCCCGCCCCTTTGCTTCTGCCACATTTGACGTGCCTCGGGTGTTTGTTCTAGCTTGCACTGCCTCAGACTCTCCCCTCCCACCAACCAATACCACCAAAATACTTTCCTACATCTCTTTGGGCGTTGTAGACACCTCCCGTCTCTCCCGGCTTCCCGTCGTGTCTCCAGTCAAGAGACTGCGACAAGCCAAGGTTCCGTAACCCATCCTCTTCCCACAGCACCCCGATCAATGTCGTGCCATCGATGCTAAAGCCGATCCGCTGGCGGGGTCTCCAGCCTCCCGGTCTGCCACTGGCTACCGGATCACCTCTGCCGGTAGCAATACCACGAGTTTCCTGTTGGCGGTGTCTCATCTTCACGTGTTGGAGGCGTCTCACCCAGCCCGGCGGTCTGACAACGGCTTCAGCTCCAACAGCAGCATGTGAAGTTGTGGCTGTTATATTGCTGCTGCTGCCACTCCCACCGACCGGGGGAACACCTCTCCCCAAAAGGTAAGCGTACGCCCATAATCAAAACGCAGCACGCAGCACGCAGCACGCAGCACGCAGCACCGGACAGCAGCTGAGGAGCTGAGGGGGAGACATGAGAACAGACAGACACGCCGCACAGTACAGAACACTGCCTTCTCTCTTCGATCCCGCCGCATTTCATGGGGGGGTATCTTTTTTGGTCCAATCTGCGATGCCCTCGGCCCCCGGCCCAACAACAAACGACCCAACCCACCGACCAACCAACTCGACAGCAGTCGACAGGGTGCTCGACCATCTCTCAGCTCTCAGCTCCGCTGACCCTTTGTACGTGCTGTAGTTGTGGTTTTACTCTATGCCCATCAGCTCTGCGACTAGCATCTTGGTATCCATCTGCACAAGATTGCTCGGGGCCGGACCAGAGGCTCTTCCTTTATTTGGATCCAAGTGGCAAGTCCGCCCGAGGGGATCGCCGGGGGGGCGGCTTCGCAGCTGGTGCTGCGTCCTCTTTGTCGATTGCACGAGAGCACGAGGTGAGCTAGATACCTGAACCGGGCTTCGGCAGACAAAGAGGTGGGTTGGCACAACGAATCCAACTTTCATCATGTAGATAATATAAGTTGAACGTGTGTGTTCGATTGCCCGGTGCCTTTTCTGGGAACTGATGATCAGTACTCCTATCCTGCCCTCCCCTCCCCTGGATAACAGCAGCAGATTGCTTATGATCCTCCCCGCGTGTACGTTCCATGAACAGCGGTGGCAGACCACAGCATCGGTATGCAAAGGCTTGTATATATGCACATGTTCACCTTTCGTGTGCGAGGCCAGTCTCCTGAACTGCAGGTCTACTGTACAGCAGTAGCCCACCGACGACCTGTACATACCAGTTGTTGTTGTTGTTGTTGTCTTCACATTAAAAGCCGTTCCGATCTCCACTCAGTACCTTCTAATGTCCGTACTGGTCCAACTGACGCGTAGTGCAGGAGGTTAACTGAAGGGCTCGTGGCGGTTTGTGGTGTTTTAGGACCCAGCGACACTTTAGCGAATACAGCCTTCGATATCACGATATCCCGATATCACGATATCCCGATATCACGATATCACAGCCCTAACAACAGATCTGAGCGTGCCAGCGTGCACGTCGCCTCTGTATTACACCTTCTGCTGAAGTACTAGAAGTCGTAGATAAGGGAAGGACTCCTCAGCCGGACTTTCGTCTTGGAGTATTTGGCCCGAAATCACTTTGGATTAGGCTACAACCGACGAACCTTGTCCGATTCCTCTCAAAATGGGAACGCTTGTCTTCTACTTATCTACACCAGGACATCAGGCACATAGACATTAAGCTGAACCCCTGGGGCGTTTGCCTTCTGGATTCAATTTGGCCGTACCAGGCGTGTGGCCACGGGGCGACTGTACGTGTGATGATTGCCTCTACGGTATTTAGCTCTTCGCGAGAGAGACCCAGCTACATGTATCCTACCGAAGCACGTTTTAGCAGCCCTGCTTCTTGCCCACGTCATTTCTCACGTCGAATCTGGCACTTCGGCTTGGACTCCTTCCCTCGACCATCCAACGTCCACAATTATACCCCTGTTGTGGACCATCGACACTAGATTCCATTTGCAATTGGGGCATGATTTTACGGCACCAACACAGAAATATTCCCGAGTAGTATGATAAGGAGGTGTGCCCGTATGCACATCGTTGTGTATCGTTTACAAATAAACACTGCTGCATTCGATGTTCTTGCTTGTGCGATAAAAAAACAGCGGTTGAAAAGGAATACGGAATCAGGGTAGAAGGACGAAGTTCTGCCCTTATGAAGGCAGACGGGGCTGGTGCTCGGGCCGAAGCATGCACGCCTTCGATCCGAGAGTATGAAGAGTGGAATATCCCACAACCGCAACAGTCGTCAGTGCCGAACCCGCCGAGCACGCTAGCTGTATACTCCGCAGTCACTGCCGTGTAGGTGTAGAAAATCGCTAGATTGTAGTAGCATCTGCGAGCGTACCAGTAGGCATGCTGCGCCCGTGACGATGTGGGTACCCCATGGCTGTCTCTCTGCCTGGCTGGTGGCCACTGCAACTTCCAGCCGCGTTTATATTTTAGCCGCGTCGGACTTGTTCAGCATTATTGTCAATTTTTGGGCTTGATACTTCATATCGTACGTCCCCGTCAGCCATTCTCCAGCAAGAGGTGTTGGGTTTCTCCGGACAAAGCCTCCTCCCTGGGTGTTCCATTGTTGTGTTTGATCAGACCCTTGGGTACGCTACTAAAGCAAGAATGGAGATAGGCGGAGGTGGACCGGCGACGATTGGCCCGACGGGCGGGATCCCTCGCCTCGGTCCGCAGGCGGAACGGTCCAGCGCATGGATTAATCGCGAAGGGGGGCTGCAGCCGCCGACAGAGCGTGAGGTATGTCGTGTGGTCGTCGTTAGGGAAACAACGTGTGCGCATCAGTCAGATAATCGTCATCTTGCAGGGAACTACATAATGAGATTTAATTCAGGCGCTGCTGTCTGTTGGGTTGTTGGGCGTGGGATCAGATGTGTACAGACTGAAACTCCTCAGCCATATGGCTGTATCGGAGGGAGATGTGCTGACTCGCAGTTCGTTTCGACTTTCGAACGAGGCAGGCCCTTGTGGTGGACGCTCTGGCGGACAAGCGTCTGTACGAGCAAGAGTTGGCCAGGACACGAGAAGAAAACGCCTTTCTGCAGGATCAGGTAAGAAACTTACGAACTTCCGTAGAACGTTCCCCGGAACAGACCCCGAGAAACAGCTGTAGATCGTCTCCTTTCCCTCTCAGAGTGCCTTTAGTCGGTACCTGCAGCGGTTGAGGTCAGCGACGCCGATAGCTACGCACTAGGTCATGCCATCGACCCCATCTGCCGTATCTCGTACATTCTCACGCCACCCTCAACCATTCAATATGACAAAAGAGAGTGAATGGCATACAGATCGAGTCCGTCTCCCAACCCTTCAACATATCCTGGATCACAAGTACACCGCAGTCCACTATTCCACGTCTTTCAAACTTCAAACCGTAGGTAAGAAGAGTATCAGCGGAGTTGAAGAGGTACCAGGTTCGGTTCCCACGAGCGGCAGCAGACGCGGCTGCTTCAGCGACGGCAACAAGGGCAGACGGAAGCGGGGGGCGAGGAGGAGAGGGTGGCGGAGAGGTTAGCGGGCAAGATGCCGCGGACGATGTTCCTCTTCCCCCGTGGGTGACGTCATCGGAGGTCATGTCTCCCCTTCTCGCGGCCTACGACGCCAGGATACAGGTCGGTCGGTATCACTGCTTGGTTTTGATTGGCTAACGGTGTGCCCTCCCTTTGATGCCGGTCCTGCAGAGGTTATGGCTGTGATTTGGCTCTCGGTGGTGCATGGTGTGTGTCTATCGTAACTTCTTACGTGGTAGGCAGCGGTAGCATTCAACCGATCCGTGGCCAAAGGCATGAAAGTGGTGCGTGGCAAAAGGCTGAAAATGCTTGAAAAGCGAGCGATATTTCTACCGACGCAGGACCTGGAGGGGCAGGTTGCGGCACAGAGGGATGGCATGGAGGAGCTCGCTGGTCGGACGCATCAACTCGTGGAGGAGAACGACACGGCAAGTGGAAACAGACTGTTCGAAGCGGGGAGGCTGTAAGACACGAGCATGTCGATTGTCTCGAGGGGAGTGTGGTCTCTAGTATCTCGCTTGCTGCTGTTTCTTGAGTTGTTGGAGCCTTGGGCAACTTTTCGACGTAGCGTCTTTTCCCTCACGGGGAGTGCGGCTTGCACGGACTGTGGTGTGACGGTTGTTTTCACATCACAGCTATTTACTAGTAGCATACGTCCTATGGGAATATCATTATATATTTGTCGTTGCTACGATGTTTTGGCGGTAAGTCTCGACTCAACAAGAAGAGAGTACTGCTGTCTCCCTTCGGTTGTTTGGGTAAATTTGTTTCGGCGGGGTCTTGCAGTTACCAGTAGGATGTCCAATGGGAATGTCATCATATATATTTCATTTTGCTACGTTGTTGTGGCGGCGGGTCTCGGCAAACAAGAAAACAATACTGCTGTCCCTCTCGGGTCTTCCAGCTGCGGCAAGAGCATACTCGCGAGCTGGACGAACTGGTGCAGCAGGCCGGGGCATCGGGAGGTCTGGGAGGTGTGGGCGCGAGGGAGATGGTGGGAGAGCTCAACGAGCGCATTAACGTTCTCATGGCAGAGAACACCGTGATGGCAGACCAGGTATGTATCTACATCCTACGCGAAGCGTGACGTCATCTTTGTCTTCCGGTTTTCAATGGAATTCGGGAAAATGCTCGGCAGCAGAAAGTGTAGGACCCAATTTTTCGTGCTGAACCGGCAGATCTACATGGAGGGAGAAAACCGTTGCGAAATGGCACCGGGTGGTCATATCGAGTGTTTAAGGAGAGCTACCGAGTTATCTCGACGAACTTGTCGATAGGTCTGTGGCGAAGGATGCCGTCGCGATTGACGAGGTGCCAGACTAGAAGGGGATGGACGCTGGTGTGCGCTGTCGATGATCGTAACATCAAGCGTCTAGAGAAAAGTGTAAGGCGTGGGGGGATCGGTGGCGGGTATAAGTGAGAGATTGTGTGGCTGCTGTCGTGGTTTAGAGTACCGCCCGGGCGGGTTTAGCCCGTCTACAACATATCGACAGGCATATTTTACATCCGTCGGAGACTGTCTGCTAACGTCCCTTTTATTGCACCTTCCTCGCCGTGAGTTTGGCCGCTACGCATGACACAACCCTCTTGGTGTTAAGGTTGGACCCCCCTTCGTGCATGGATCGAAGCAACTTCCCATGACTACAGTCTCGAATCATTTGGCAAAACAACCGTACGTTGACGCGCATGTTTCATCTTGCTATACAATGTTCCAGACATCGGCGATGGCGAAGGAGTTAGATGCGGTGCATGAGGAGCTCGAGGATCGGGAGGCGCAGATGGCGGCCCTGACGAAGGCCCTCAGCGAGGCCGGAGTCGGCCTACGGTAATTTACTCGCATGTTCAAAATTTTAACACCTCCTGTGTGGAACTTGTGCTACCTTAAAGTTTCAAAGTACAGTGGAGGTCCCTGTTTAGTGCCGGTTGAATAGTGCCGGTGTCCGGTATAGTGCCGTTACAGTGTTTTCGGTGTGCACACACTGAATTTCCAAGTAATTCTCGATAGTTTGAATAGTGCCGGTCCGGTATGGTGCTGGCGAATTTCTGGGCACTTATCGGCACTAAACATGGACCCCTACCAGAACTGCTGTTTTGCGATCCAACAGCCCTGGACAACTTTCTGAAAGGGTGCTTGTGTCCTCGATGTCCTCAATGTAGTGAAGCAGTTAGGATTGTGCCTGCTATTGTACAATACTGACATGGACCCAGCCGTGGTGATGGATATCGCTCAAGCTTGTCGCAAGGTAGCACGCTCGCCTCAAGTGTCCCGCGACTAGTTCTGAAGCCTGCCGTACACTGCGCCGCCCACCCTCGAAACTAGTCATAAGCCCTAGCGCCTCCTGTGAATGTGCCGTACATTCGTTGGTATTGGTGTTGCAGGACGTTGGAAGAAAAGGTCCCTCGACTCGAGAGAGAGAAGGCCCACGCCGAGGGAGAGCTCATGAAAGCCGTCAATGCCATGTCAGAAAGGGAGGCAGCGCTCGCAGAGGTAAGAGCGGGAGAGGCGAGGGTTTGTGTGTTTGTTTGTCTTCTAGCTTTAACCGCGTACACGGTTGGCTGACCAATCGAAAGCGTCAGTCTCAGTGCGGCTGTGTTTGTGTGTGTGTGTGTATGTGTGTTTTCTTAGTAGTATCGACCGCACTAGCGGACTGGCCGACGAAAGAGCGCCAGTCACTCCACAGCACGCGATACCTCTTGATCGTCCGCGGGGTTATTTGGTATGCCTTGCGTGCGGGAGAGAAGGGGTTGTCAAGGTACTTCTTTTTTCAGTTGTTTCTGCCCTGCCTTCAACTGGGTGAATTTCCTCAACGTCACCTATGCTCAGCTCTGAAGAATGCACAAAAAAGAAATGAGGGGGAGAGAAAATTGTTCCGGTTGGCTTTTAAGGAGCGAATAAATATGGTAGAAGACTGGAACAAGGAGGGGAGGTAGGCGAGTACTTGGTGAGAGACTACTGTGGAGATGAGCTGTTGTGGCCTTCACAACTCGAAACAAACAAATGCCTAATGCCTAGCTTGAAGATGGATTGGCTCTTGATTTCTCCCTGGGGGACCAGTATTGATATGGCGATACGCACGTACCAGGCATGTGCTTGTTTCGAGCAACCTTATCACTCTCGTTTCCTGAAAGACTGTTTTCCCGAAATACTGTCCGTATCCGATTTTCGAGTCAATTTTGGATGATGGTAGTGATGGTGTTGGCATTGCTGTTACCAAAAAGACTATCCTTGTGCGCCGTTGCGTCCACGCCCTACACGGGCCTCACCCCTCTTTTGTGTGCGAAATTCAATGTCAAACGAGGGTGACGCAAGCGCGCCTCTCTACCTAGGTGGGAGTCCATTCCTAATTGTGGTTAGCCTGTCGATTGGTGCTGCCGTTGTTGATAATGGTGCCGTTGATTTCTTGTATGCTTTTGATATCGTTGCTATTGCATGGGAAGAAGCGGTTGACAGTCATTCCTAGCACAGCCTATATCGTACCTCCTAGCTCAATCGAAAATCGTATGTTGTCGATTCTCATATTTCATTGCAGGTGGGAGAAAAACTGGGGGCTTCGAAAGAAGAGGCGAGGCGTTTGTCGGTGAAATTGACGGAGATGGAGGCCGACCGCGCGGCGATGGAAAAGCAGGCCGAAAACGACGCGGACGTTGCGGCGGAGCGCGTGCGCGCGACGGGTCAGCGTATCACCGAGCTGCAAGGTATATCACGACGGCTTTCTTAACGCTTGCGGGGTAGATTTCATCCTTGGTTCGTGCCGTGGCAGCCTTGTTTCCTCCACGGCAGTTTGAGAGGAATCTCGTCATTAGAGAACGACTCTCGTGACCAAGATACATGTATGAGAGCGGAATGCAGAACAGGGCCTGCGGTAGGGCGTGCGGCAGAGCATGCCCGGATCACCTTCTAGCAGACTCAGCGTTGGGTTACGTTGAGATGCGATACGATATAGTCTACAGGTTACGATATAGTCTACAGTGCTTCGCTGGGGAGCGCGTTTGCCTTCTGTGTTTGACGGTATCTTCATATCCTCACGTTAGCTTTTCGTACGTGGTACAAAGGCATTGCCTTGCCGAAGTAGAGGGTGGTGGAGCCAACGATCACCCGATCGTGCTTTCGTGCACCACAAGCTATGAAAATGTGAGTGAAGAGCAGGGCATTACGTTGTTTACGATGCCTCTCGCTTAGCATCCAAAGTCGTCAAGGTTTTGCACCTTATTTTGTTGACCAACAGTTGCGTGTACTTGGTTTTTACCCCCGTTTTGGTGGAAATAACATTTCGTTTAGTAGCGTGAGGTGCGCGTACTCCACCGGTTAGTGAGAAATAGAGAAAAGAGTGAAACGGACACACGTTGAGGCAATTGTATTTCGTGTCGAGACTGGTGTATTTCGTGCCCATGGGGAGGGAGCCAGGCATTGAGGGAATATGTGCGACTCATGCGAGCATGCGTCTACGACAAACGCCATCGATGGTCCCGCTTTCGACAGACCGTGTGCCTGCGAGATTGAATCTCGGGTGCAACGCGTGCTGGACACATACCTCTCTCTGATCTGATAGTTTGTGGTTTCTTGTGCGATGTGTGATAGGCTAGATAATCCTCGAGAAAGAAAAGACCAAACTCCTTTGAATGAGCTAACTTCAGTTGGGCCTTTGGGCAGGGCTAATGGCGGCTCGGGGTCAAGAAGCAGACATTAATGGAGACAGGGCGAGGAAGCTGCAGCGGGAGCTCGACTCCACGCGCAGGGATGCCGAGGGTATGCTCCAGGTATGTGAGGCATGAGGCTCGGGATTACCGGCAAAAAAATCTGCCTTGCATGAGCTATAGTCTCCCTTTCATCTGAGGCCGTTTGTTGGAGGAAACCGACATGTATGTCTAGTTCCAGGTTTGTATCACTTGTAGTGTTCGAAGCTTCGCGGTGCATGTGGCTTTCGGCGACCATGTTGATGGCGGATGTTGACAAAGGTGTGGGGACATGGTCGAGCTCAATTTCCAAGCCCGTAAAGTACCATTCCCGACGGGAACCGTGTTCAGGTGAAGTTATCTTTGCCACATACGCTAAGGCTAAGGCAATTTGGGAGGTTGTGGCGACGGTTTTGTAGGCAGAGTCGAGAGGGGTGTGCACCCTGGCCGTAGCTCCAATGCTTGAGATGCCCGGTTTTCTTCGTGCTTGCAGTGCGTTTGCGGTGAGTTATTTCCCGCTGTTCATGATCCCGGTAAACCGAGAGAACCGTACTGCTGTAGTGCTCCTCATGAACTCAATCGTTCGTTCAAGCAGTGGAAGCAAGGTGGTTCACTAGTTTGGTTCAACCATTTAGACTTCCGCTGCGATATACGAAGTACTCACTCACCAAATAGTTGCTTGCGCTATCTGGTATCTCTGCCGCTACTCATGACCTGTTGTGCAGGTGATGTCCGGCATGGAGAGACAGATCGCTGACTTTTCGTCTAGGGAGGAGTCAACCACCAGCCTCGCCAAGGAGAGCAAGCAGAAGGTAAGGTGTAACGTCAGGGAAGTGGGCGAGAGAGGGGTGGGTGGAAGGTGTCGAATGCTTTCATGTCGATTTGTTGCACATGCAGGCTCTATGAATAGTAAAATGAGAAGGGAAGAGAGAGTTTCTCTCTCTCCAAGAGAAGAAATGGTTGTAGAGCCAGGCAGGCTGGCAGTCAGAAGAACAATTTCAGGTTCGGCCACAGGAGAAAGGAGTGGGTCTAAGTTGAAGGTTACGGTTGACTGACTACAGGGGGTACACCATGCACTGCGAAGGGATGGATGCGGTCTTGACTAAAATGTCATCTTGAGGGAATAGTCCCCAGAAAAGGGGTGACACGTCGCCAATCGCCGTTCCAACGAACAATCCGTCGCCAATCTTGCGGATGCTTCTTTTTGCCTTACAAATACGTATCCTGTTCTATCGCTTGCATGGTTTGTTTGTTGGGGCTTTGTTAGATTTCAGTCGGGGTCCGGGCTGTCGGCAAGCTGGGGGTTGGTGTTACGCTGGCATGAGTGCCCACTATCATCCACCTGCAGCAGTACCTACCCACTTAGTGTTTTAACTTTGCACGTGAGTCCCTGTGCCCTGGAGTGGTTCAAGAGGGGTTTGAGGAATTCAAATGAACCCTGAGATTGACAAACGGACCTGTTACGCTCTTGCTGGTTGTGCCGGGGTTTTTTCGTTTGTCAAGGTCGAGGACGCGCTCCTGGCAAGAGATCAGGCAAGGGCTCTAGAGATCCAGTCCCGCCGGGAGCTAGCCAGGGTACTAGAAGCGCGCAAGGTGGGCAAAGGTGTTCTACACGTCCCCTTTTATCATTGGCCATCGAAGCACTGGCTCATTCAGACAAGAGAAGTCGGGAGTTGTGTGCGCTCGAGACTCGCACACGGCAAGCACAGCTTATCGGGCCTAACCTACGCATGCGACGGAAATATGTGCGTTGTTCACGATCCCTGTAGGCTGTCTGCTGTGCCTTGATGATGTGAAAAGTGTGTAAGGCTATCTGTTGTGCCATGTCCTTCGCGGTGTGACAGGCGGATGCATCAGGGCACGTGCGGGAGATGGAGGAGGCCGTGCTGACGCTGAAGAACAAGTTTATGGCGCAAGTCGCCGCTCGAGATCGCGAGATACAGGTGAGGTCGACATCACTGAACTTCAAGCGAACACAAACATAACAAGTGCCCGTACAGCGGCAGCAACATCACGATAATAGCAACGAAACAAGTAACTATCACCATCGTCGTAGCGTCCCCAACACAAACCGTAGAAGAACGGGACCCGAGGGGAATCAAAACTCTCGCTCCTTAGTGGAATGTTTTGCCCATCTCCACCTTTGGACATACATGCGCAAACGGTTAGGCTTCAGAACAACACAGCAGTATGCGTAGCTCATGATCACACGGTGCATGCGTCATCCACCTGATGGTACACTCCCCCTCCCCGCGCGTCTCCCCTTCACCATTTTCTCTGCTTTACTACAATAATCAGACGTAAAGGCCCATGAAAACACATTCTCACAACGGCCAGATGTTGCACTCACTCACACACACTCACTCACACACACTCACTCACACACACATACACGCACGCACGCCGTTTTTCGTCCGTTCTTCCACCCAATACATGCAGGACCTTGCAGCACAGGCGGCAAGGTTACGAGGGGAGGCGGAGCGGGCCGCCAGGGACCGCGCAGGGATGGAAGAGGTGTACTCGTCGCTCAAGCAAGGGGTGGAAACGGAGACGGAGACTCTCAAGGCGAAGTTCGACGAGCTGCAAGAGAGGGTGCTCGAGGCCGATGCCAAGCGAGATGAGGTTAGTGTGTTTGCTCTGGGGCAGAAGCTGGAGAAGATCAAGGGGTGAGACCATAGAGGCCACAAAGTGAGTGCGGGTGAGCAAAGCTAACCTCAGAACCTCTGCAACAAGAAACGCGCGAAATTTCAAATCTCGGAAGTTTTCTGTGTCTTGCGTGGCATGTTTTTATTGTTACAGTCCCGGGGGAGAAGTTGACTATCTGCATCTGAAAGGTAACGCACATGGGGGATGGTTTGCGGGATACACGACATGGTACATGGTACAGCCAGGCAGGGCAGCCAATGTACAATGTAGCGGCGTCCGTAGTCGCAGTGGCCTAGGGAAAGGAAAGGTTTGCGAGCTGCACTGCACGCTGGAGAGCTGCAAGCGTGGCGACGTGAGGCTAGATTGGGGGTTGGGTTGCTTTCCACCTGCGCCGTCACCATTGTTGGAAGCGTTGGTAGAAGGTTGGGCACCCGCACTCAAAGCCGTTCGTTCGCCTCTACGTGAAACGGCTGACAGCAGCCACTTTACCGTTCTGAGTCTCCTTGCTCGTTTGTGGACTGGATACATGCGTTCCCATCTTCTTTCCAATTTTCCATTCCCTCCTGATCGGGAACCGAAACGCGGTCGACTGGCATGGCGTGGCATGGCAGGGCATGACAACGTTTGCCACCAGGACCATGCCATTTTTACTAGCATCATCACCTTGACCAGCATTCGTGGTACGCTTTAAACCACTACCCTTGCCTTCTGACTGCTATGCATAACACTGATGTATGTTGGTGTGTTGGTTTCCAATACTGTAGCACGAGGCCGCCGCCAGGGAGCTTAGGCAAAACGCCGTCGACGCCGACAGGGAGTTCGATGCTAAGGAAGCAGCGTTCAGAGCGAAAGAGAACCACCTCGACGACACGCTTAAAGCTAGGTGAGATGGTCTCGTGGGTGTTGTCATTTAGGTTGTTCGTTGTTCGTGTGTGCAATAGTTTCCGACGATATAGAACGTAAAACATCTAACCCACGGTCGCGATGAGCACCCCCGAGCCAGACCCAGCGAAGGATCGGGAAGATGGAGTGTCTCGGCTAGGGGATGGTGACGACCACAGTTCTTTTTTGTTGCTGCTGTGTACCACCATATCCTGCCATGTCTTTGGGTGCATGCAGCAGCTGTTCATGGGTTCTAAGCGCCGGCGCACGTATGCCCGTATGGCGTACTGTACGACAAACTTTCTTTACAAGCTGGGTCCCTTCCGTGCGTCTGGCCTTGGTTCTGTAACGCACGCTATGGTAAGCAGTACCCAGTGATATGTTCTCAGAGTCAGTGTAGGAACAAGAGCAACGTTAGTTTCCCACTGATACTGATATTGATATTGATACTGATATTGATATTGATTTTGAGATTGATTTTGATTTTGATAGTCGATACTACGGTGAAGGATGTAGTTCAAAGATTCAATAACCGGAACGTGACTTGCTCGCATCGCAGATATCACGCGAACTGTACGGCCAAGGCCGCTAAGCCGTGCTACTGGATCATCGCCATTAACGTCAGCATTGGTAGTCTGACTGGGAACAGAACGCACCGCTCGGGAAGGTAGAGCAAGCTTTGGAGCTACGATCATGATGGCACTATTGTAACAAATTCCATTCCTCATCGTCGCGCTTGTTAGGGAACGAGAGCTGGATGCCATACGTGTCAGTTTGAGGGCAGCCACCGACCACTCCGAGAACCGTCAGAGAGAGGCCAAGAGGCTAGCGGCATTGCTCGAGGAGACTAGGGAGGAGTATACCAGGTAGGTACACTGTGTGTGCGCAATTTTTGGACAAAGTTTACCCTGTACTTTCGTGTCGTGATGATATCTGGCGATAGGTGTAGGTGCCGGGATGGCGTGGTTTTTCCTTCTCTGGACAGTGGTGCTCTTTGAGAATAGGGTTATCAATGCTTTGACGCCCTGCACACACCCATGGTCGATCTCGTTAGCCCTTACCTGTTCATTCTGTTGGGGGCACAGCTCCTTGTGAGTTCTTTTCAGCTTTGGACAGGTTGTAAAATTCAGACATATATGCATTCGTCCGTCGTACGTACGCACATACATTGCCGATACGATGTTGTTGGTTTACTGTACACCCACCGCGTTATACGAAGAACATGGGAAGAAGAAAAAGTTGTGCGGCGCGCCTACGTCTTGAGCGCAAATAGCGGGACTGCGGCGAGCACGAATGGTGTGTATTTTATGGTTTTGGTTGCTGCGGCGTTCTGTACGGTTCCCTCTTTGTGTTTCCGGTTTTTCAGGACAACAAGTGTCATCTATCCATGCACTTTGATCAATGGTTACTTCGCAACGTTTTGTCCTCCAGAAAGCTGGAAGAAGAAGTGCTGGTTCGAAAGGCGGAAGTGGAAGAAGCCAACACTCACGCGGCGGCGTTAGAGAGAAGCTCAAGGTGTGTTTGTGTGTGTGAGAGAGAGAGACAACCGAAATCACTAGTGGTTCTAGACTAGTCAACCACATCCACATGGCACGCACACGCATTATTCGCCGTGTTTAATGATTACCGCGTTCCTCGTCTACATGGATAGAAACGGATAACCGAACTCTTGAAGGATTCATTTTCAAGTGTCCCTCCGCCATTAGGAAGGCCAATTGGGCAATTTCGATCGATCGGAAGCAGTCGGACTTTTTTGGAAAACCTGTCCAAGTATCTCCCAGCCGAGACCAAACCTAGTGCCAAGAACGATCTATTTACCGCTAACGGTCTGGTATTCTTGTTGCAGCCAACCCTATCTCTATGAAAGGTATTTAGGGGAAGACCGCCTAGTACGAGGTTCGTGTGGGGCATGTGTATCTCAGGCGTCAAGGATTGATTCGTCTTGAGCGGTGCAAGCAGCTGCCAATTCTGTTCTCATTGTGCTCACACGAAACCAAAGTCAATCTCGCTCATTCCTCACCTGGCGCACAGACAACGAGAGATACGTTCTGATACAACGAGAAATACGTTTTTTTACAACGAGAGATTCGCTTTTATGTGCAGAATAGCACGCCCTTTCCCAACAACACAAACGGAAAGAACGGTACTATCTGTACGATTTCGCACGTTCTCCCCATTATTATGCGTGTGCCCTGCCCCAGGGAGGCCGAGCGACGGGTGGGTGAGGTGGAAGCGTCGTTCAAGAAGCAGCTCCGGGGAGCGCAGGAGCGAGAGAGGTGTGCGGGTTTGTCGACGGAGAGGCGTCTTCGGGAGGAAGGGGAGCTCGCACAGAGGCTGTCTTCCAGAAACACCGACCTTCAGGTTTGGATAATCCAGCTTCGGCATGCCGCGTTGTTGTGGAAGAGCGCGATGTGGTTCGCTGCGTCGTTCTTCACAACAGGCTGGTAGTTGTTTGTTCTAGTTTCAAGTGATGTTGGCAACCTCGTTAAGCGAACTACTGTTCTAGCAGCTTGGCGACGACGATATGGAGACGTCCTCGCCGGAGTATGGTGCGAAGGACCTCCCGCGTTTTTCGAGGTATGTCTTTGAGGACCTTGGTCCTAGCGCGTCAGTACCATCATGTTCGCCGTTTCTTTTCTTGTTTGGTGCTTGTAGCATCTTTTTGCAGTGTGCTGCGACCGAACCCCACCAAGATAACCAAGGGTGTTGTTTGTTTGCTCCCCATCGATCTCTCTGTAGGGGCGTCTGGCACAGCTTGCAACGGAGCGGGACGGATCGGCGGCGGTGGCAAAACGCGGGTTGGAGGAAAACGCAAGGCTAGAGAAGCAGCTCGTTGATGCCCGCCGCAAGGTTGTATGTTGTCTTCCTTCCTCGTGGCCTGCCGTTGGGTGTGTTGACTATTTTTAGCGACCGCAACAGCACTACTCATCGTCACGCTTGGTTTAGTGTATAGTGTATAGTGTATAGTGTATAGTGTCCCGATATTCGTGGAAAGTGGGATAGATTCAAGGTGGATTTGATGGTTATTGCTGCAAGGCAAGGCAAGTGCCTTGCTTCCAGGGCGTCTGGCAGGGTATGTAGCCTGGACGGGCAAGCGCACGAAATCTTCCGACACCATGTCTATCTTCACCCACGTCTCTATTCCCTGTCAACACTCTGCCCGGTCGATCAACACTACTGTACACACATGCCAATGTCGAAACTCGCCCCTTGCTTGACCCTTGCCTTTTGCACCGCTTGTCATTGTTCCGACTAGCTCTCTGAGCTTACAATCCAGCTGTCGGAGACAATCGGGCAGGCTGAGACGAGGGCGAGGGATGAGGGCCGCCTGAGGTCGGAGCTCAAGCGCCTGCAGATCACCGCACAAAGGTGATTGGTGCGATCGCATGCTGTTCACTTGTTCGTTCGCAGCTGTAGTGTTCAGGGCTGACTCAAGCGGCTACAGATTGCCACAAAGATATGACTCCTACTCACATGGTGTGGTTATGGCGCTCAAATAGCACCACCAATATGGGTAGACAGCAGCAGCAATGCCTGTATATTTTACAGGCCGGCCACAGCGGCCGCTCGGTCAATTTCCTCTCGTCATTCGTCGGCGCATCTGTTCCTCTTCTGCCATTTTTTTGTGGCGCCAGGAGGGACAGGGAAGCCTCTTCAGGGGTGAGGGGGGCGGTCGGTGGATCGGGATCGCAATCGGCCAGACTGGTCTCTCTGTCGCACCACAGCAACCGTATGCGACCGTTGGCCTTGGCGGAACACGGCGGAGGCAGTGGCGACGGCGTAACGGCGGCAGTTAGTGGAGGCGACGGCGGCGGTGTTTGAATTAAACCTGGTGTTGCTGAGCACCGCCACCACGCGTGGGTTTCAACTTGTTCACTCGCGCGAGAAACATGGTTCTCAGCACATGCCTGTAGTGTGTTAAATAGGCACGATGCCCAGGTCTCTAGAGCTACTGCTGTCTGCTGTTTCGTTGCGGTTTGCTGTATTTCTGTAGTTTAGTACCATTACACCTGGTACTACAAGGCCCGCAGTATGACGTTCAACACACAGTCACTTGAGATTTTCGGCTGTCGCAGGTACACGGTATTTGGTACTTCCGAAGTATTCTTGTCTCCCAGAAGGGCGACGTCGTGGTTTCATTTTTTGGGAAGTATGCCGGACCTCTGGAAGTCGTGCGAGCGAAAGGCGTCACATATTCACGTTGGTGTGGCAGGGTCGGGTTTTATGAAGAATACTCCGTAGTGTTATGTATGTAAAATTTAAGGGCGGTTAAACGAACACAGCAGGGTACATGAATAACCCTCTGGTCAAAGAAGTAACAGGAGCCCAGCTGTAACTGGTCGACGCCGGTCGGCATCCTTCGTGTCCCACAGAGCCTGGGGCATGGCTACCTTGCCGCGGTTACTTTTCTCCGGAATCGTACCCTGATTTTCGAGAATGTACCCTGATTTGGCAGGAATGGGACTCTCCCGTGGTCCATTTTCTCATTTTCTCCCGACCTATGGACACCCAAAACACGCAATGAATATGGAATTTTCTCCTCTACATGTGTGTGTCTGTCTAAAACCGTTGTTGCGTGTGGGTACGGGTAATGGTGGGTTGCACAACCAACCCTCAAACATTTAACAACACAATACGCCACAATACACCAATGCCAGTTCCCTCTCGGGCGAAGCCCTCTCCTACCTAGCTGCCCCCGGCTTGGTCGTTCAAATCTCGAAACCTTGTAGACTGTACCTGTAAGATCTACGGTGTAGTGCAGTGTCTCCGGAGATGATCCACTTCCAATCCACTTTCCAAAGATCAAAATGTTTCAGGTCAGGAGTCAGGAACTGATGACAAGCGTCAGAAGGACCCGGAAAAACGCACACCTGCACACAAGCACGCATGCACAGCAACATAGAAGGAAGAGAGAAAACTCTTTGTAAAGCTCCACCTGCTATTGCTGTGGCTCACGGCTCTGCGGGTACATCGCACTTCCAATCTTTCAAGAGTGCAAAACATAGCGGAGATTGCGGAGATCGTTCGGGGGTGGGGGGTGGGCATGCGTGGCGTACCGTCCCTGTTTGCGTTCCCCCCCGGTCTGTGTTCTTTGGTTCTTTGTGTCTTTGTGTGTGCCGGTTGTGTGCTGTGCACGCGGGCTTGACGACTGCACACTGCACAGACAGATGTGCCATCGCTAGGCTGTGTCGGCGCATCCATTGTCCTTGGTGCTTGTGAGAGCAGGGTGCTGGTTCCTTGCTTGTGAGGGCGCCAGGTCTTCCCCAACACACCAACACACGTCTTCCTTTCGAGGTAAGCACAGTCAAAATATTTAGATCGGCGTGGGTCATCATGGCTGCGGGCTGGAGGTGGTAAGATTACAATCCTGGATACCGCCCGCTGGTCTTCTTCTCTCGACTTAGGGCCAACAACGGGGCTGTCGCTGCTGTTGAGGGAGCCCTCCTGAAACTCGCTGCTCCTGTTGCCGAACCGCTCGTGTACGGTATGTCAGGCCTGTCCCTGATGTCCGGTCCGAATTGGCCAGTTCGGAGATATGAAATCATCGTCAAGAAGGGCGGAGCACCTTTGGGCCTCAAGCTGCACCAGACCAAGAGCAGAAGAGGTGACTGACAGACTGACGCTTTCTCTTTGTATTGCGCTATTGCTGCGTGTGTCTGTGAGCTGTGCTGCTCTGTGTGGAGCTCCCATGGCCCTATGTGGGCGGTACTGGTACGGACCTGGTGTCGAAATGGAAGAACTTGAAAAACTTCCAAGATGAGATGGAGAGAGACGTGTGCAGCTGAGAGCTGAGGTCCGTCTGAACCCGTGGTCTACATGCTTATTTGAATGCAGGCTGCCCTCGGGATAACCGGTGCTGTCGTAACGATCGAGGGTGTGACCTCGCAGCTTGAATTTCCGTTGGGACTCGTCCCTGGATGAGTGGAGTTCTCACGGCATCTCCACACAGCAGACACAGCAGCACAGCAGTCCTGCGTGGTGTGTTGCCTGATCCCCGTCTTGATAGTTGTGCCGCTCGTGCTGTCGTTCACACTTTGCACTGGGCACGAAGGTTGGTCAACCGGCTGTCCTCTGGGCACGTACATGCACGTACGCCATTGTTTTTTGTGCTTTTGGTTTTCCGGACGGGCACCACACGAGCACACATTCCGCCGTGTGATGTGGATGTTTACAAGCTCTTCTCAAGGAGTCGTGTACGGTATCATGCCAACATCGTCTATGTGTGGTACAACGGTTGCGTACAGTGATTATGATTCCTATTCCAACAGATTTGCTGTAGACTAGACTACTGAATATAGTTCCCGTTGCGATAAACTTGGAAGCATTTGGTAATACATGTACATCTGTACCTGTCTGTCCTTTTGGCTTCGGTCCCCGAGGCCCTCGGTTCTATCCTATCCTATCCTATCTTATCCTATCCTCGTCATCGTCTACATGTAACCGGACATGGTTTTCTAATTTCGGTATGTAGCGTCCTCCCCTCTCTCTCCGCACTACTGCTGTTCAACTGGTACTCTCAGGCAGCACACACTTGAACGACTATTAGAATGAGATGATCTCATGTGGCCTCGTGTGATTTAATTGGCAATACTTGTTTCCCGCTGATGCAAACGGTAGGCTGGTTACGATGCATGCAGAGCGCTACCCGACGTGCGGCTGATTTTTTCTAGTCGCACCCGAACATATTGATTGATTCGAGGGTTGCGTTTTTGGCCATGTGTTGGTTCGTTGGCATCGTGGGGGAAAAGAGGCGAACATATGCATGCGGGTTTTACAAGGTTACACCCCCCACCCCTGTTCTTTGAACGCACATTTACATTTGCTTTCCCTTCCCCAAAGCCCGTCCTCTTTTCGTGAAGCCTGCTGCATGTACGGCGATCGATGATCGCGGCTTCCTTCAGTACCTCCTGTTCTTGCTTCCACACTTTCCATCGAAGACGTCTTGACTCACGTACTCCTTGCTTTTATGACAAGGTCGCACCGAACGCTCGTCTACGCCGACTCCTATTTTGTTTGTTGTACGGTCGCCTTACCCTGCTTGCCTCCCTCCCACGCTGCACCGGGCAGGCGTCTATGCCAACGGTTTCGCGGAAGGACCGTACCCCCCCCCCGGACCACAAGCATGCATGCGTGTCGGGGACGTACTGGTGTCGGTAGACGGGAAGAGCGTCGAGGGTGCAACGCTACCTGTGGCTCTCGCCGCCATCGAGACCGCGCGGCGAAGGGTGAGGACAGTCAGAAATAGATTGGGTGGAGGAGGGAGGAATAATTCCGCCGCGTGTTGCAAGCTGTACTCTTTTTGTCCGGTCTATATGGTTTTTCCCTCTTCGCTGTTCCCAAGGAACGGACCCAAAGAGAGGCGTGATTTTTAGGATGTTGAGACCAAGCGCTGAGCACAATAACGTGATCTTGTTGTTGCTACTGTTGTTCTTGCTGTTGGTGTAAACTGCTCTTGTCTCTCGAAAGCGTATTTCTCCCGTGCGCGAGCCAACTACGTCGGTCAGCATTCCGAGAAATTAACCAAAAGGGTTACCCATCCGCTCATTACCCTAGGGACTGCTACAGTCCCGTCCCTACTGTAAGTGTGATGATGTGATGATGACAAGGTTCCTTGTCGAGAGTGCACGAAACTGGCCTAGTCACACTAGAATAACCGTTGAGAACCACACCTGTACGGATTCAGGCCTCAGCCCTCTCGTCGGTTGCATTCCCAGATCAGATCCATTCGTTATACATTTACCTCGGCGACACATGAAGAGAGAGGAAATCTCAATCATGAGCCGAGTAGCAAGTCGCTGTCGGTGCTATTTTTGATAATGGCACGCACGATTTATGAACGGCACACACGACACAAATTCTAAGACTGACGTCGTGTAGTTGGTCAGCCGATTAGTGCGATCGAAGCCAATTTAAGAAACGCAAACACGCACAAGCTCCCTCCCCCTTAACCCGTTCCCCTCTCCCCTTGCCCGTTTATAGGACCGCCTCCGAGACTTCATCACTGCTAAGCAGGATGACCCTCGCAAGGGAAACGTCGTGATGGTTTTCGAGCGCGTCTCGCCCCGACTCACCTTCAGAGACATCGCATTGGTGAGTGACGTTTCAAGATTTTGGTGGTTCAAGTTGTTTTTGTTCCCGCCCCACCTATACTCTACCAATCTACGCCACAGCAGACCACCGGGCACAGGACGCAACAGTTAGGACAGGCAATGGCCGTTGGAGATATGTACCTGAGTATCTTGTGGGGCACCTCGTCCTTGACATCAAGAAGTATCGTCCCGCGACAACTGACTGTGCACTTGCAGCGCATCCACCGCGTGTGTTGATTCTGCCCCATTCGGGCGATTCAGCGATAAAAGGGCAGTCGACCCGCTGCTTTGGTGATGCTGCTGCCACCGCTTGTCGACGCATTGCCGGTAACCCTTGTTGGAGGTAGCAATGTGCACTTGATAAAAAATATCGAGTCACGCAATGGCTCTTTTTTTCTCTTGGTCTCCACCTCCGTGGCCCTGCACCTCCTATTGACATTAAACACCAACAACAACACTACTACTGCTATTGCCCACAACAACGACACTACCTGTTTTGCCAGGACCCCCGCAAGGTGGTCTATCTGTTGAACTACATGCTAGAGGTGCGTTGTGCGGGAACCGGAGGGGTCGGCGGAAGCAGCAGCAGCAGCGGTGGCGGCGATGGCAAGAAGGAGGCCGTGATCATCAGCCTGGATGAGGCCCGGCTCATGTTCTGGCTGGAGGTGCAGGTGCTGTTCGAGATGTCGGCGGTGATGGCTCCGAGCAGAGACGACATGAGCAAGGTCTACGACAAGTTCTTCCGGCCAGGGTCGGGCTTCTACGTCCACGAGTTGACAGACACGCGACAGGTTAGGACGTTGAAGGGGGGTGGGGATAAGAGGGGTGTATGTCGAATCTATGTGTTGGCTCTTGTTTTCGCCAGACTGCAGACCACTTCTCTCTCTTTCTCTCTCTCTCTCTCTCTCTCTCTCCCTCTCTCTCTCTCTCTCTGAAGTCAGATTTTTGTTTTTTTCTAATCTGCCATTGCATATTTCGGATACAGCCAACTTTTGCGCCAAACAGACTGTTTGGTGCTAAAGCCTCATAGAATGTCGCATGGAACATCTTATGTAATGCTTCATGGAATGTTTACCCGGTGGCACAGTACAGTACGGTCACCGCTCGCTAGACGACGCTTCCTCCTCCCCCTCCCTCTTTGTCGTGTTGTTCGGGTTACATACCGGCTTGCCTGACGTGTGACAGGCGAAGATTAGAACGCGGAGGTCCTGGGACGGAGACGTGTCCGGCTTGCCGAGTGTGGGTCGTAAAGCTGATCCCTCCGCTAAGACAGCCAAGGAAGTCGCGCAGCCACAGCCACAAGCCGCAGCGTCATCGGGCAGTGGTTCTGGGGGTGTGGCGTCGACTGCCGGAACCGGCCCGGCAGCATCGTCATTGCCCGGCGTCGGGGGAGGGGAGGGCTTGGACGCAATCACCACCGCCTCCGCAGCAGCCGGAGATGGACAAGAAGGCAAGGGTGGAGGAGGAGGAGGAGGGAACATTGAGGCTGGAGAACCGCCGTCATCGGCAGACCCTCCTCCCGCCCCAGCAGCAAGAAGCAGCACCGAGGGCGGAGGCAGCGACGTTTCGGCGAAACATGGCGCGGAAGCAGGGGAGAATGGCACGAGGGAGGGAAGCGGTGGGACGAAGCCGGCCGTAGGAGCGCGGGACTGGGTTTCCCTGCCCGTGGAGTTTCTTGCGGCAGACCTGTCCAAGATTTTCCGGGCCTCTCAGGAGAAGGTGGAAGAAACTCTGACGGCGGGATGCTTCTACCGGTGAGAGACGGGGGTGTACGGTACGGTACGGTACGGTAGGCTGTGTTTTGCAGGTAGTCTGCGCAGGGTTTATCGTGTTGTGTAAACATGTTGGATAAAGCATACAGTACGATTGGGGACATTGGGTTAGGGTTAGGGATAGGGTCTGCTTCCCCCCTGCCTACTATATTTCCTCATTAACTTCTTAATCGCGCGAAGGCGGCCCGTTTTTTGGGTGTCGTTGATTTGATTCTTGCTGTCTTGGGGTGTCCCTATCGCTGTCTCGTCTGCGCTGTTGGCGGAGTTGCTGTGGTCCTGGCTTGGCATGCGCTGTCGCAGCTCACCGCTCTAATTGTGCCAGGATCTCTGTCACCTCTGCTGCCGCCCTCCCGGGTACTGTTTCGAGGGTGGACGGGGTGTTGTACCATTATTGGTGTTGGCCGTGTGTTCTTGTGGGGGGCAACGAGCTGTCCCGTTTGGTCTGGTGTGTTGGCGCTGTTTGTTGTGCCCGTGGAAGGAAGGGAAGAAGGTACGAATGTTATAGCTTGGAACAACCCGTCGCCCGTCACAGCAGTGTTGTTATGCCGGGAGTCGGTTGAGAGGTTAGCGTGTCGTACGGGTTCGATTGGCTTACGACATTCTCTTATCAGGAATCCACCGTGTTTGCCTTCGAGAGTTACGTTCAACCCCCGCCTGTCCAATGTTTGGAAACATTGTCCCGATCGATCCAGATGCAGTCGTGTTGCGAGTCGACTCAACGAAAACATGACAACATGGTGCTCTTGGCGTGCTGCAGGTTCAAGACTAGTCCTTGGAAGGGAAGAATGGTGGCCCATCTCAGCAACAGCCCCGATTTCGTGCATGTGCCGTTCGAGAGAATCATGGCAGAACAGGAGCTGAGAGATGTAAGCAAGACGTTCCGCTGCTTTTGATACCCCCCCGTTTTCCCGACTTGAAGTTCACAATGGGGTTGGATGCAAGCATTTGTCCTGGCGGAGACTAAGGAGGTTGATGGTAGGAGGCGAGGCAGGAATACATCCCTCAGACATGCCATCATTTTTTTCAGAGGTGATCCACGTAGCACACGACGGACAAGGGAGGAGGGGATTCAGTTCGACTGTCCGCGTCCTTACACATGTCGTTTTCGTGAGTACGGCAACGATGCTATTTGACCTGACCCGAAGCTGTTGGTTTGTCTCTCCGCACGCGTGTTGTGTGTGCCTATGCCACGGACGATCCTTCTCCCTTTGATTCGAATGCGTTCAGGTGATGATGCTGCACATGATCATCACCCAGACTCCCGGGTGGCTGCAGGTGTGGAGGGAGATCGAGCTGACGGTCAAGCCTCGTATGGCCCTGCTGCAGACCAGACGGTCCGTGCGACACCGACGGGGCTCCGCTCTATCTTCCCGCAGTAGTGGGGTGAGTGTTTGGTTATGTTATATGATCCACGGGGGGGTTGAACCAGGAGAGAAGGAATCGATCATGGCGGCGGGAACGCTGGGGGTAGTAGTGCTTCGTCTATCACTATAGTCTTGAGAACGCGGTGCCGCTCTTGTCAGTACAGAAACAAGTGCATGTGTGGAGGGTTGAGCGTGGGCGGACATAGGCCACAAGTACAATTCATACTTGGTGTGTACCACGTGCAGCATACCCGGAGTGCAAGAGAAGTACGCTGAAATTCGCTGGATACCTCCCAGGCCCAGCGCTCCTCAATCAGGTTAATCTCGGAAAAGCAGATGGCATTTGTCAAGCGACCGGTCCCCATAGTTAATCCCCCTCCTTTCCTTACCCCCACACCGGCACTATCCCCGTCGGCATCCCAGACGATAAGGAGACACTCGGCAAGCGACGACTGGGAACGCACGCTGTCGTCCTCCATGAGCAGCAGCAGCAGCAGCAGCAGCAGCAGCAGCAGCAACAACAACAACAACATTAACGTTAGGGTCAGCACGTCTACTCCGTCCTTGTCCCGGTCCTCTTCCTTCTCCCCGCCCTCTCCGGACATGCGAGAACTCAAAGCCGCCGCGGCAGTCGCAATCGTGGCCTCCGCTGTGTACCTGTGGGACTTCTTCCTCTCCGCCGACTCGCACGCTTCCCTCGGTGTAGCTCGTGACACGAACGCATACGTCACGCTAAAGCAACTGTTGGCGGAGAACGTGCCGGGGGATAAGATGGGGGGCCCCGGGGCTGGAGACGCCAGCAGCGGTGATGGGCCCGACACGCAGAAGGGGAGGGATGCCGGGGATGACTACGCGGTGTCGGTGGGCAAGGCCCTGCTGGACATGCAGCGCCACGTGCTCCGTAAGGTACGATGGCGTTTAGCTCGTATACCGGTTGCCCTCTCTTCGCGCTCGTGTGTGTGTGCTTGCACCGTGCTGCTTGCATCCGCCACCTTCCCCACGCTGCCCCACTCTCTGAAAGCCCCCCCCCACACACACACCCGCCACTGTCTCTTCCGTGACCCCCTCGACTGCAGATCTGCGCGAGCGTCTACCCAGACTTCCAAGCGAGCTCATCCCACGAGCATCTATGCGCGGAGCTCACCACTGGCACCCGTTCCCCAGCACGGCTCCCACCCGGCCCTCCAGACCAGCTTGACTTCGACCCTGCACCTTCGCAGCAGCAGCGAGACTCGATCGGAGGCGGGGCTCCTCTCCCGCCCCCGCCACAGGGCCCGACCTCCGCTGCCCGCAGAGGCACGTCTGCGGCCGTGTCGCCGCCTCGACAGGTTCGAGCGCCTCCCCCGCTGCGGCAGAAGATGCTCCTGCAGCAGCAGCAGCAGCAGCAGGTCGGGGGCAGCGAGGTTGGTGCCGGCGACAAGGCTACTTCGGCTAGCCCCTTTGCCTTCTTGGGGGGCGGGACACCGCCCAGCGACGGGGAGAGGAAAGCCGTTACAGCGGGCAACAGCCACGCACGTCGGAGCTCCGCCCCGGGGGTAAGCCCAACCGGCGTTGCCAGCAGGGGTGCTGGAATCGGCGGGAAGAGTGGACCGGGCAGAGTTGACCCGTTCCCGCCGGAGGAAGACGCGCCCCGGGTGTCCGACCGGGCGGGGAGGGTACAGGGTGTGTCCGGGCCGCAGTTTGAACCCCTTTGGAGGGCTAGCCGGGGATGGGTGCTGGAGAAGGTCATGAGGAGGGTGGAGCTACCTCCGCACGTGTCGAGGCACAGACCTCCGTGGGACAAGGCCTGTCAGCAGGGGCGAAGGGGGGAGAAGGGTGCGGTCGGGACGGGAAGGTCTTCGAGCGGCACAGGTGATGTTTTGCATGTGGTCTTCTTGGCAGATGCATGCTCGTGGTTATGTGCACATGTACGATGAGATTGATTTGGACTGGGCGTGTTCATGGCCAGAGCGGTTTTGTTAGAAGAGCGATAGAGCTGCTTCGGCTACACTCTAGCGCGTCGATTCGGGTAGAGTGTTACAGCACTTTCCTCTCACGGTTGATATCGGTCTGGTCTGGATGTATGCATAGCGCCAGGGACGAAACGTCCAGGTCACTGCTCGGTGTTCTCAAGCATATTGCCGCGTTCGTTCGCTGCGCGGGTGGAAGGTCCTGGATACCTATATCCCGTGTTTTTCTAGGAATGGCTCCTGCCGACGGAAATACCCGAGAGATCAACCATGAGGTAACGACAGCCCTTCATCGTCCAACCTTGACCCTTCCTTCCTTCCTTCCTTCCTTCCTTCCTTCCTTCCTTCCTTCCTTTCCCGTCTTTTCTGCCCACCCCGTTTCCCTTTTTCATGCCAACCAGCCCCTCCCGACCTGCGCCAGCACCTGTCTCTCCCTCGCACGGCGCGAAGGTTAGGCCGTCGGCCCAGCCACTCGTCAGGCTCTCTCGTCCCGGGAGAGCCCCCCAAAGAAGCAGATTCTTCCGCAGGCGTTGGCGGTAGCACGCACGCAGGCGGCGGCGGCGGCGTAGCCGGCGACTTGGATGTAGCATCTCCCCCTGATGTTCTGGGAAGTCGCTCGGGATTCGGTGTACAAGAAACCCAGGGGATAGAGCCAGGACCTACAGGGGCGAGAGAAGACGGTGGTAGTGGGGTTGTCGGGGAAGGAATCAGGGGCTGTGCAGAATGGGCAGTTTCCTTCTCGGGGTCCCTGCAGCAAGGAATCACGACGGTACAGGTGTGTGTGGGGGGGGCACGAGGCTAGCGGGCGGTGTGTAGGCGGTATGGCCAGGGTTGCACGGGGCGAGGTTGTTTCGTCGTAAAAGGCGTGCTCTGCTCTCGGGGACAGTGTCGCTGCCGCCTTTGGTAGAAGTATGCAGCTCACGTGCAACTGCATATGCGTCAGTTTTTTTTTGTGTTCGATTGCGTCCTATCTTCTTTTTTCAGAGCCTGCCGGATGATACCCCGTTCGATATCGCGAGCTTTCCGCGGTGGGAACTACTGTAGGATATTTTTTTCGATGTAGCATTCCAACCATTGCCATGTTGCGGGCGAAAGTTGTCTTGGGCCGAGGAAGCCACGACTGCGTTTTGCATACCCCACTGGCACGTAACGTTCACTCTCTGTGCGATTCGTGTTCCCCGCGTGCACCGGTTGACCCCCCCCCTCCCCCATCCAGACGGAACACGCGGTGTGCGTCGCCCCCCGCAACCTCGGTCTGGACGTTCCGCCGGAAGGCCTGGAGGCGTTTTATTCCCCCTGTCTGCCGGCCAGCGGAGAGGCCCCTCGTGCGTGCCCCCCTCTAGGCGGCGGGAAATCATCGGGGGTCGGGAAGGGTGGCCGTGGAAGCGGCAGCAGTCGGGGGCGCTGCTTTGGACCGGGCGTGCCGCCTCCTCCTCCTCGACTGTTCACGTTCGCCGCCCCCGGGCGTAGCGGGGCCGGCACCTTCTACGGCGCATGCCTCTCGGTGTTCCGGTATGCGACAGATTTGTGAAATGAGTCCATATGTTCACATGAACAGCTCCCCCCCGCATCTAGCCGTGAACCTTGCGCGTGTTCTTCAGATGTCGATGGGTATGCTACCGTTTGTGTCCGGTGGCGTCTCTGTGTGTGTGGAGGAGAGGAAGTCGAATATTGTACCGGTGTAGGCGCCCATGTCGAAAGGGGATGCCAACAGGCGTCGCTGATGAAATGCATCTACGACATGCAGGCGTCACGCCCTAGGGAGAGCATGCCACACTTTGCGTGGAGAGCGAACGGCACACGGTGGTGCTATCTGTGTGATCGTCAGGCAGCGCCTTGTTTAGTCCATGTACAGTATCCCCGCCCTTCTCCGTTTTTCTCAGTGTGGGCTGCAAGTCCCACCCCCTACGCCCCCCCCACCCCCCCCCCCCCCCCCCACCCACCCCCCCCCCCCCCTTTTTTTCCCAAAAAAAACCCCCTCCCCAATTAAAAATCCCCCACCTTTTTCCCATTTTTTCCCCCCCCAAAACCACCCCCACCCCCCCAAATTCCCCCCCCCCCTCTTTAAAAAAAAACCCTCCAACTTAAAAA